ACATTAAACTCAAATGTGATTAGTAACGGTCTGTTTGCTTTTCAAGAGATAAAGTGAATAAGAGCAGTGTCAAACATCTGTGTTCAACTCCATTTTACAGATGTCTGTGAATGTTTCCATGGATGTGTCAGTTATTATTATAGATCCATGGATGTGTCAGTTATTATTATAGATCCATGGATGTGTCAGTTATTATTATAGATCTAATAATGTTGGATGGATGTTCCAGTTATTATTATTATAGATAAATTGATGTTCCAGTTATTATTATAGATAAATGGATGTGTCAGTTATTATTATAGATAAATTGATGTTTCTCTCTCATCAGCAAACACACGTTAATACATTTAGGTCTGATAAAATTACTTTTAAGTGATGCACAAACAAGGGCCATAGCAAATATATAATCCATATCTAATAATCATTTATTGCATATATGTGCATTGTTTACATAAAATATAACTTTGTAAAAACTAATGATTACTGCCAATACAATTGTTATAACAGAGAAAGTGTAACAACAAAAGCATCCTCTGTTTTTTCAGAATACGATTGTAAACATCCAGGGGGCTCTCATTACGTGGACCCGTGTTTAGACAGCCTGTTCTGGGCTTCAGCACTGCAGCTAACTGGGCTGTTAGCTTATAGCACCGGAGCTTCAGGCTGGAGGTAAAGTCCGAACATTTTCGAATTTATCTCCAAACAGACTTCTGATATGACAATAGAGGGGGATATTTCTCGCCTCAAATGATATTAGAATTAACTTTTATGTCCTAATTAAAGCGTATTTAGAACTTTTTACCGTCCATCATGGCCGCCGTGTCCTTCCGCTCCGCTCTGAGTTGTGTAGTCACGTGACAAAGGCAGAAGGCAGCTGCTGTCCAAATCCACCTCACGTCTCGCCTCCTACCTCGCCTGTGGCTACGCGGCCTTCCCTCGATGCCTACATATCCACCCTACGCGGCCCGATGCCTAGCGTTTTGGACACAGCCATAGTCTGTGGGGATAGAGTGTGAGCCTACTGACCCATCCACGGAACAGAAGGTGGCGGTAATGCGCAAAAATAGGTCGCCAACCGCCGGGAAAAACTTAACAAGAAGAAGAAGAAGCGCCTTTCACTTCCGCTGAATTCTCGCATCAGGCACTTCAGGCACTTGTGGGTTGTCCTTGCAGTCGTCCATGTGAAGGTAAGTAATTAGATATCCTGTGTGTAGTTACTCCTAATCGTGCAGTTTATCTCACATCAATATTATATAATGTATGTATTTGTATCTGCGTAGTTCGTGATTCTTGTAAGCAGCTTAATCTTGGTCACGTCGCGTGTACCGTCGCGCGCTAGCATCGTAGCTAACAAGTTAGCTACCATTTTCTGTAATGGTTGTCATTTGTATGAAAACAATTTTCACATAGTAAACTGAGCTATGTAACTGCAATTAATTAATGTAAAGAACTGAAGAAGAATTGAGTCAAGAATCTGGACTCTAATATGATGGTTAGCTAGGTGATAGAGTACTTTATTTAAATACTGGCTTGAATTTCAGAAATGAATGTTGGATGCCGATTTTCTTCTCACTTCTCTATTTTTTTTTTTTCCCAGATACCTAACTTTTGGGGTATTTGTCTCATTCGTGTGCTCACCTCCACGTGGCAACATAGTTTGTAAGTATAAGTGAACAATGTATCACAGTTTAATTGTAGTTCATATTAATTTACAGTTCATGTGTGGTTAAAATTGTTTGCAATATAAATTGGAAACATTTAGAGTAAGTATAGTTAAAAGCACAAATGATTGATTTATGATTCAAAAAACTTGAAAAGGAGCTGGCTTTTTGAATGTTTTTTTGTAACATGAAAGCTGTTAAACCTTAACAACAAACTCGGCTGAAAGGCAGCTGATTTTACAAATAACCTAATTGATATGTTGTCCTTTGTCTTCATTCACAGGTGCTGTGTGAATGTGGCCTTGCAAATTGTGTGACAGTTCGTTATCTACCAGGTATGAGTTATTAAAACATTTTAGGTTGAGACATTTCCACCAGAGCTTGACAGGTCGATATACCTGTGTATATCTAGACTGTCCTTGCACATTCATAAGCTGGAAGCAACTTTTGACACACACATATCGAACACACCACAAGTTTGACACAGCAGGTGCTCAGTCCACTACGTTCTCATGTCAGACATGTGGGTGTGAAGAACTTTCAACAGAGAAGGAATACTTTAGTCATATTAATCAACACCTTAGGCAGTATGAAAATGTGACTTGTATGTTTGAGGGATGTACTTATCAGTCAAACATATATGGTACTTTTAATTCACATAAAAATCGTAAACATAATCCCCACAGTCTAAAGGATTTTAAAGCAGGTGTGGTTAAAGTTGGTGTTCAGTCAGTGTCTAGTCCAGTAGATGAGGAGCCCACATTTACTGGGGACATAGACGGTAGTCTGTCAGACGCAGATAGTGATATTGATCATGCAGAGGACCTTCCTGAAGTTGTAGAAAAAAAACTTGCCTCTGTTCTATTGAAGTTGGAAAACATTTTTCATGTTCCATCTATTGCTGTAGATGAATTAGTTGATGAGCTACACTACTTGCTGAGTACTGTGTCTGTGTCAATAACTTGTAACAGTATTTCAGATTTTTTCAAAAGAAAAAACATAGAGGTTGATAGCTTGGTTATTAAGGAATTAGCCAATTCACTGTGTAAAACTAGTCCTTTGACAAATGCACTGGAAAAGGGTGGACCCCTTGCAACAGCTTATAAGAGAAAAGAGTACTATAAAGAAGTGTTTAATTTTGTCGAGCCAGTGGAGTTTCTTCTTGATCAAAAAACAAGCAAGTCCTTTCAATATATCCCATTACTGCGATCTTTACAGCAGATACTTGATTCTTCTGAGGTGTTGAATAGAGTTATTGATTGCCACAGAACACAGGGCAGTGACCCAGACCAGCTTGAAAACCAGCAGTATCGCTCCATAAGAGATGGTGTGTACTTCAAAGAAAATCCTTTCCTGTCAGGTGACGAGTTAAACATTTGTTTAACATTGTACATTGATGACTTCGAATTGTGCAATCCTTTAGGCACATCGCGGAAGAAGCACAAGTTGTGTGGCATATACTGGATTCTTAATAACTTGGGACCAGGCTCTCACTCAGCACTCACCTCTATTTATTTAGCAGTGTTGTGCAAGAGTAATGATGTGAAGACTTATGGATATAGAAAGGTATTAGAGCCACTATTGCATGATCTTATTACATTAGAAGAGCACGGTGTCTATATTTCAAAGCTTGGGACTTTTGTGAAAGGAACAGTCCACAGTGTTGTTGCAGACAATTTGGGTGCCCACGGTTTAGCTGGTTTTATAGAGAGCTTCTCTGGGCACTACATTTGTCGATTTTGTACTGCTCAGAAAGAAGAGATCCAGTCAACTGATGTTTATTCAGGTACCTTTTCTCTTAGAACCAAAGAAATACATGAAGCACATCTTAAGACTGCACAGGACACTGAAAAGAGTTGCTTTGGAGTGAAGCGAGCTTGCCCTCTGACTCAGCATCTTAAACATTTTCATGTCAGCACAGGGTATCCCCCAGATATAGTGCACGATTTGTTTGAGGGGGTTGTTCCATTTGAACTAGCACTGTGTTTGAGCATTCTGATCTCCAAAAAGTATTTTACTCTTGCGTCTCTTAACACATGCATCCTCAAGTTTCCTTTTAAGTGGAGTGACAAAAAGAATCAGCCTCACCAGATACCACAAACCTATTCCAGTAGGAAGACAGTAGGTGGCAACGCACATGAGAATTGGTGCCTTATACGTTTCCTCCCTTTTCTGATAGGAGACCTTATACCAGAAGGTGAGCTTGCTTGGCAAGTGTTACTAGACCTGAAGGAAATCGTGGAGTTAGCTGTGGCACCTGTTCACACCCAAGAGACAATCGCCTACCTTGATATCAAAGTGTCTGAACACAGAGAGAGACTACGTGAGCTTATTCCAGGTGAAACACTGAAACCTAAACACCACTATCTTGAGCACTATGCACACTTAATCATGTGCTTTGGGCCTCTTGTTGGTGTATGGACAATAAGGTTTGAAGCAAAACATAGTTTTTTTAAACAAGTTGCCCGACACACAAATAACTTCAGGAATATTGCACTCACTCTGGCAACCAAACATCAGCAGTTAATCAGTTATCACTTGCACTCATCTAGTGTCAGTACTTCAAAGCTGGAAGTGACAAATGTCTCCACGGTCCCGATTGATGTTCTGAATGAAGAAGTTTTAGTCGCCCTCAGACAGAAATATCCAGACATTAGTCAAGTTAATCTCACAAAGAATGTCACAACTAAAGGGATCAACTACAGACATGGAATGTTTGTTGTATATGATTCAACTGCTGGAATGCCTGAATTTGCAGAGATTCTACAAATATGTATAGTGAGAGATCAGTTGAGCTTCATAGTTCGTTCCTATTTTGCTTGGTATCTGGATCATTTCAGGGCCTTTCAGTTGACTTTGTCACCAGATAGAAAGGTTGTCCTTGTTCAGTTTGAGGAGCTAAGGGATTGCTACCCACTTGTGGCCTACACATGTAGTCTTTCCGAGGCCAGCACCATAAACCTCGGCTCGTCATCACATGAAGCAAGTGATTCAGACTCCTGCCGCAGCAATGATACCATCATCTTGTCATCGCCCGAGACCCGGTCCTGTTCTTGGCCCAAAGTCTTTGTTTGTCCTCGCTTCTCATACTGTGCTGAGATGATGCTCCAAACCGGAAATAATGAGTTAAATGCAAACGGAACATTGCTCTCTCCTACCCCAAAAACACGATCGGATATTCTTGAGGGTCTAGCTGAAGAAATCATGAAGTATACAGCATATCCAAAAGATGAGCATTTTGAAGAAGTGGCCAAGGCTCTGATACAGTCCCACCCATGTCTATTGGAGAAAGGCACTCGCAGTGGCTACTGTGGTTGGAAGCACTACTTGAAAGTAAAGATGATGAACTTCAGATCAAAGCTCAGGTATTTAATAGGCTCTACTTTGTCCCCAACCTAAGTCTGTTTAACACATTTGTGTCGGCGCAAGATATTAAATGTCAGACCAACACATTCATAAACTTGCACTAAATGTAAAAATAACATTTGTTTTTGTTCACAGCCGAGCTGGACATCCTGAGGTTACAGTCAACTCTCTGAAGAATAAACGGAAAGACCAGGAGAAGCCAGCGGCCAACATCAAGAAGCCCAGGAAGGCAGAAGTTAATTTCTGTCCAAACATCCCCAGTGGTGAAACAAGAGAGAGTATGGAGGCGGAAAGGGTGGCTCTACTGACAGAGTTAAAAAAGAAGAAAAAGGATGAGGCTGAGATCAAGAAGAAGATGCAGCGTACCTTCTCGATCAGGAGGCAGGAGGTTCTCCAGGAGCCAGCAATTTCAGAGTTCCAAAACAGATGGCCAGCACTCTTTGATGTCAATGAGGTAATTGTCAGTGCAGTAACTTGGTTTATCAATGACCTTCTTTATGAACTGTCAAACACTGCATCCTGTGTTGTTTTTTTACAGATCAACTTGGAATTTATGCGACTGACAACTGCACCCCTGACCTCCAAATTTCTTGGAGAACTGGACCATCAGACCAATGACCTGATTAAGGTTTTTAATGCCAAAGGTGGAGCTGCAGGAAGAAAGATCACCGCCATAATGGCCAAGATGGAAAATGTATGTTTTTTGTTGTTTAATCTGATAAGCATGTACGGTTGAGCTGTTAGTGCGTCTCTTGACACTGACAAGCATGTTTTGTTTTGTTTTCTTTTCAGAATGAAGACATTAACGTGAGGCGTGATTGTGTGCTTCGATGCCTGAGCATCTACCTCAATGAAGATCTGGACACACTGGTTAAAGAATACATGGTAAGATGTTCAGCCTACTGTCCTTTCTGCAAAATGTAATTAATTTCTATCCAGATAGAATAACTTGTAGCGTTCATGAGAATGGGATGGACATGAGGATGCATTGACATGACCACCAGTAGTTCACGATTGAGTCCAATGGGTTGTTTAGAATGAGAATTTCCCACAAGGCCAACGGTGGTAGTTTTGTCACTTTGTAGGAAGTAAATCCACTTAGTTCAGAGGAGCCAGAGGATACAGTGGGCCGGGTCCTGGCATCTAAAAGCCTCCATTATGCCAAGGACGACAGTTTTCGTTCAAACAACAAGGTGAGGACACTTCATTGTTCTTATGAACCAGCAGTTTTTTGTTCAATGTTTGTCTGTGTTTGTTTTGTGTGGTAATCAATAGGATGCATGTTGTGGACTGTCTGCTTACGAACTCCAGCGCCTTGAGAACATCAAAGAGAAAGAGGCCTTCTTGTCGTCTTTGAAGATATGGCAAGTATGTGGACATGTTAATTGGAACTGTATCCAATACAAGACTGATCAGTTTTTTTTTTTAAACTAAATTTAAAGGGGAAGTTCAGCATCCCTTGTAGTTGATGAGCAATTGCCACTGTTGTCCATTGATAAAAATAATGGGGTAATTGTATTTCTCTGTCAAAAGGCAGCTGAGGATCTGAGGCAATCAGTAAAGCCAAAGACGCATGTCAAGAGGTAAGCCCTAAAGCAGTGTATTTGAAAGCATGTATTGTTTTTGCTGTAGGGGCTGAATCTATTTAGTAGTAGGGGTCATTGCTGACAAGTAAGGGGTAAAGGGAGAGAGAGAATGTTAGGATAGGGAAAGGTTGGTCCTTTCTCTTCCCTGTTGTCCTTCCTTCAACTTGTAGGCCAACCACTCACTTTTCTACAGGTGCTGAAAAGTTGAATAATTTAAACTTCTCAGTGCTGCCCAGCACCTCCCCTGTTAACATCACAAGGTCAAGTTTTGTCACTAGGCTTGATGCACAAACTGCACTATTTCCTGACTGGAATATTGCATCATTTCCTGCACCATACTATTTTTAGTGATTTATCAGGTACACGTTGATTGTGTCCTGGCTAAAACTTAAACATCTGACAAGACCCCTTCATGAATTTGAATTGAGTGAGAAGGTTGGATACGAGTAAACCTTACCCCTATAAGAGCTTACGAGAGAGAGGTGAGTAGAGCTGCTGGAGGGTAGAAAAGAGGGAAAAAGGGGTTGGAGAGGTTTGTCTTTTCCTTCAATCCATTTTCCTGTATCCAATGTTTATTAGGGTCTTACAGCTACTGGGTATTTACATCACTGATCTCTGAACAAAATCTGGATGATTCCTGGTTATGTATTTTTATATATGTTTATAGTTGGCGTTTTTTAATTTTAATGTTTGTTTTTTATTGCAGGTCAAAGGCTTTATTGGTAAAAGAGCAGTTTATGCACTCTCCCCGGAAATCCCTCCGTCTTAAAGAACCACAGAACCTTACCCTCAGTGAAGGATCAGCCCATAAACACGTGAGACCAAGACTACTACTAAGAATTTACCTTTGGCCAAGCCACACCCCAGAGCGCAGCAAACAAAGGGCTCCCACAAAAGTTGGATAGTTTTTGACAGCTCTCCATTGACTTTAACACAGGCGTCTCTTGTTTTTGCTTTCAGCAAGCTATTACCGTCCTAGTTTTATTTAAATATTGTTGAACATTGTGCCTGGGGTATTTGTAACACAGATGTGTTTCCCAGAGAGGTGGTACAAGGGTGTTTATTTCCCCTTCCGAAAACGTGTCGTCCGCACAGTCGTCTAAAATTCTTCAAGGATCAACAAACGTACTTTTGTGTGCTCCAATTGTCTAACTAATGTAACTTTACAGTTGGGTCGTAAGCAAAAATCTTCCTGTTAAGGTTATGATTTCGGTTCTCTAACCTAATTAATGAAGAACCAAGGTGCTAACAACCAAGCATAGCTAGCACGTACGTTAGGATTGTAAAGATATGTTTTGACTAGCAGCTTGATCTTAACGTTGTTGTTCAAGCTACAAACACCTAACATTAATGTTACACACTGTTGTAGTAGTCTTGAAGGAGACCACTGCCACCGTGTTGGTTAATTTTAGCCACTTTGCGGCAGAACCCTAGGATATAAAACGGGGATAAATCCGTAGCCTACCATAGTGCAGTTTATCCCGGTGTGAACTTTGAGTCCACTATCAACATCTCACAACTGTTGTACATATTAGTTCCTTAGAGAAATAAATAACTTGGATTCACAATATTATCAATGGACTGTTTTACTCGGATGAACTACTGCAGCAATAAGCCACGTTGATATCAGCGCCCAGACGTTAATCTATTTGACATAGCAACAGTAACTTGGGGCAGGGCTTAGCCAAAGGTCAATTGTCAGATTTTTAATTGTGCACAATTTGAGAATGGGCTGTATATTATGTTAACACAAAATGCTTCCTTAACATTTTTGGAATTTGTTTTTTTTTTTCAGGCTTTTAGGTGAGAAAAGGTCTTGGGGTCATTGTTACAATGAACTCACATCCATCTCATTCTCATGAACGCATATATACTGTGCCTTAAAGCTCTTCAAATAGAACATGTCTGAAATACCTTGATTACCTTTTGTTACCATGGTTTCCGTACACTTATGCCAGTTTCAAAACCAGGAAGGTGGGACGGTTTAATTAATTTTTCCTGCTAACAATGTGAACAACAATAAAGAAAAGCAATTGCTAGGTTTCAGGTTCTAGAATTTGATGTCACAGGACCCAGTTGGGGGGCAAGAGCCAGTTTTTCCTATTAATTGCATTACACTTTCACAAGTGATATCTAAAAAGTAAATGTATGAACAAAAAATATTATTAATCCCTGGGTCCATGATCATGTAAAAGACAAAATTATTTTGTTTTAGAGGAAATTTGTTATCTCCATATATTATAGGTCTTTAGAATGCTGTGATGTCACATGCAACCCAGCATATAAATCTTATTCATAAGAAAAATAAACGGCACCAAAACTTAACTCATATCAAAGTGCCGTCCTGTTCTCTGAAGTAGAGTTAAGTTTTGGTGCTGTATATTTCTTTTACTGTTTTTCAGTCATGGTCCTAACTATGTGGACCATGACTGCTTGCTGCCTGGTCTTGAAACTGGCACAGGTGTATAGAAACCATGTCAATGAAGGTAATCAAGGTATTTTAGAAATGATCTATTAGGGATGGTTTGCTTAGATTTTGGTTAAGGTTAGGGTCACACAGCCCATCATTCTGTTCTTTATATTCCAGGACATTGAATCCAGAGAGGCTGAGGCAGACATTGGCGAGAAGACCATGGGCATCTACACAGTCCAAGCAGAAGTTGATGTTCCAGGTGATGGACGCTTTGCTGATGTCGGAGTTGTGCTGGAAGGTGTGAAAGTTCTCCATAATCTACAGAGTGTCAGCCATGCTTGTGTGATGCTTTATGGACTGATCTACGCACTCAACTTGAGCTATCCAAAAAGCCTGAAGAGTACATTTGAGGTATACCAGAAAATCTTGATGGACCTTGACTCAAGCAAGCTTTCACCAAAAGTGCAGGCACTGAAACTCAAATTGCTCCAGTGATTTGACGGGCAATAATGAACTTACACAGCCCATACCTGAGTTTCCCTTTATTTTTTAAATCTTGTGTTTAAATGATCCCTTAGTTCTTGAAGGGTGCTTCAGGGAAATGCCTGTTTATTTTTATTTTTTTATTTTGGTGTCCAAGCATTTAACAGGGGAGGTATGTATTGTGATGTATGAGCATGGCTGTGTAGGTGGGTTCACAGATGGGTAGTTTCTAGTGCTAGCAGGCATTGTTGTAGTTGCTAAGCTCAAACCATATTTATCTTGAATTGTTACCAGATTCAATGGGAGCTAGTTGTGTGTTAAAGACATTTTGTTCCAAAAAGGTGCTTCAATTCCTGTGAAAGCCTGTCATCACTCAAACATTTTTTTTTCTAATATTGAAGGGAAACTATGGCCAAAATTTATGTTCATGCAGACCCTAATTTGCATGCCATAAAACCATCAGAAACAAAACTGCAAAGACCACAAGTGGAGTATGTATTGGCTGGATAGGAAGTTTTATAGAATTTTTGCACTGGCAGTTTTGCACTTTGCTCTGTTGAGCCGAATTATTTGACATTTATTGGACTTGTTTGTGTTTTTGCTTCATGTCATGATTTATATACCCATTTTTTTTATATAATTTTAATTTCCAAGAAAAGTGTTTTACATATATTTTTACAGTTTAGTCACTCCAATGTGGAACTAGCGAGGACTATAAAGGTTAACAGTGGTTAGCCCAGTTCTGGATGGAGGAAAAACGTATACGGAAAGGCATGAGATGGACTAGAAAGATGGAGTTTTTTGTACGCACATTAATATTGAAGAAAATACGTTTAAGTGGACCACAAGGATTGTGGATGTTCTGTCCTATAACAGCTCCATGTTAATGTTGATTAACATGTTAATGTTAATAAATCTGTGGAATTAACAAGGTGATCTGATTGTTCTTATGCATCATTAAGATCGTACTGAATGGAGCAAAAATTACATAAATGTGATGCATTTTGACTAATTTGGTTTATTACATAAGCATAAATAAAATGTAATTCAAACAATATACTTTATGTATTTTAAATAATTACACTGCTTATAATTAATTTGGAGTAATTATATTTTATTAATACAAAACGCATAAACCTGAAGATTATGCATTTCAAATAAATTAGCATTAGTACACTAATGAATATAAATCATTTAAGGTTTATTTGGTAGGTTTGTATTAAAATTATCTAAAAAAAGTGAATGGGAATTTGTCATGTAATAAAATTACATAAATCTTAAAAGTTAGTGTTAAATATTTCTGTGAGTGTGGGAGACGTACCTCTATGACCGGGTACTTCCCCAGCAGTGTGGTCTTGCGGCGCCGGCACCATGCGATGTTGGCTCGGATGAAGAACGCCCCCCACAGGCCGCCGAAAACCCCCAGCAGGATGAAGGGGACCAGCTCCGCCATGTACCAGGGAGTGTGGTACTCTACATAGAACAGCACCAGCCGGCTGTTCCCAAACGGGTTTATGGCCCTCAGCGTGAACGCCGCCACCAGCGCGGCGAAGAAAGACCTCCACAGGGTCTTCAGCGGGAAGTAGTAACTCACCTGAGGAGGGACATCTATTAGCACGGGGGAGAAAGGAGAGAGGAGAGAGTAAAGGGGAGAGAGAGGGAAGAGAGGGGGTAAGGGAGAGAGGAGGGAGAGGAGAGAGGAAAGAGGAGAAAGAGAGGACAGGGGAGAGAGGAAAGAGAAGAAAGAGGACAGGGGAGAGAGGAGAGAGAGGAGAGAGGAGAGAGTGGAAAGAGTTGAGAGTGAGAACAGGAGAGAGGGAAGAGAGATGAGAGAAAGAAGAGGGGAGAGAGATGAGAGAGGATAGAGAGGAGAGAGGGAAGAGGGGTAGTTTTTACTTCCTCCAGGCTGAAGAGGACGCCTCCTATTGGAGCTCCAAAGGCCACCGACACACCCGCTGCTGCAGCCGCAGACAGGACCTGCATCAAACACATGCTGCTGTCTCCTGTTCACCTAAACACATGCTGCTGTCTCCTGTTCACCTAAACACATGCTGCTGTCTCTTGTTCACCTAAACACATGCTGCTGTCTCCTGTTCACCTAAACACATGCTGCTGTCTCCTGTTCACCTAAACACATGCTGCTGTCTCCTGTTCACCTAAACACATGCTGCTGTCTCTTGTTCACCTAAACACATGCTGCTGTCTCCTGTTCACCTAAACACATGCTGCTGTCTCCTGTTCACCTAAACACATGCTGCTGTCTCCTGTTCACCTAAACACATGCTGCTGTCTCTTGTTCACCTAAACACATGCTGCTGTCTCTTGTTCACCTAAACACATGCTGCTGTCTCTTGTTCACCTAAACACATGCTGCTGTCTCCTGTTCACCTAAACACATGCTGCTGTCTCCTGTTCACCTAAACACATGCTGCTGTCTCTTGTTCACCTAAACACATGCTGCTGTCTCCTGTTCACCTAAACACATGCTGCTGTCTCCTGTTCACCTAAACACATGCTGCTGTCTCCTGTTCACCTAAACACATGCTGCTGTCTCTTGTTCACCTAAACACATGCTGCTGTCTCCTGTTCACCTAAACACATGCTGCTGTCTCCTGTTCACCTAAACACATGCTGCTGTCTCCTGTTCACCTAAACACATGCTGCTGTCTCTTGTTCACCTAAACACATGCTGCTGTCTCTTGTTCACCTAAACACATGCTGCTGTCTCTTGTTCACCTAAACACATGCTGCTGTCTCTGTTCACCTAAACACATGCTGCTGTCTCCTGTTCACCTAAACACATGCTGCTGTCTCCTGTTCACCTAAACACATGCTGCTGTCTCCTGTTCACCTAAACACATGCTGCTGTCTCCTGTTCACCTAAACACATGCTGCTGTCTCCTGTTCACCTAAACACATGCTGCTGTCTCTTGTTCACCTAAACACATGCTGCTGTCTCCTGTTCACCTAAACACATGCTGCTGTCTCTTGTTCACCTAAACACATGCTGCTGTCTCCTGTTCACCTAAACACATGCTGCTGTCTCCTGTTCACCTAAACACATGCTGCTGTCTCCTGTTCACCTAAACACATGCTGCTGTCTCTGTTCACCTAAACACATGCTGCTGTCTTCTGTTCACCTAAACACATGCTGCTTTCTCTGTGCTGTCGCTGCTGTCGGCTGTCCTAAAACTGCTTGCACCTAAACACATGCTGCTGTCGGCTGTTCACATAAAAATGCTCTCACCTCTCGTCGTTTGCCTTCGTTCTTGCTGTACTTGGAGAAAAGCGAGCAGAACAAGTTGCCGCAGCAGCAGGCCACGTGAACCAGGGGGCCCTCTTTCCCCAGACTCAGACCAGAAGACACCGCCAGGACCAGCGTCACGGTCTTTATCAGGAGAGTCCACTTCCCCAGGTATCCACGAATTATGAAACCAGAGAGGATGGTCTTAATCTGAGAGAAACAAAGGGTCATCAGTGACACCGGAGACCAGACACCAGAAAGAACAGAGTCCAGAGATCAGAGAGTTTACCTCTGGGATCCCAGAGCCGCAGGCGTAAGGAGCAAAGACTCGAACCAGAGACACGGCCAGAAACGAGAAGAACAGAGCCCAGAGGGTGTAGAGGAAGTAGTTCAGGAGGTACGCCCCTCCGCCCTGAGAGAGACAGGTTAAAGTTGGATTCTGCAACTTTAATGTCATAAATAACACCTGTTTAAAGCTCTCCTCACTCACCGTGGCACTTCCGGTCATTAGCTCTGCCCACTTCATCCACTCTGGACACTTGTCTCTGTCGGCGAAGGTGGTCTGGTTGGAGGTCCAGCAACACTGCTCATGACTGTACCAGAACGCTGTCAGACACACCCCCTCCTTCAGGTCTGTCATCCAGTCCACTGCCAGGTCTATCACACCAGCAAGAGAGCCTAGACACCAGAGACCAGTGAGACCAGAGACCAGTGAGACCAGAGAACAGTGAGACCAGAGGCCAGAGAGAACAGTGAGACCAGAGAGAAAGACTAGAGAGAGGGACCAGAGCATGGGTGCCCAAACCTTTAGCTTCCAAGTGACTATATCAGGCACATATATATCAACAAATCACACATTGCACTTACTTTCTGGTCATTAACGCACACCGACACACAGGGACCAAAATTAGTGCACCTTATGCGGCTGCCATGCTGCTCTGACAATAGACCTTTTTCACACTTCCTTGTTTTAAACTGCATGATTTTAAATGTGCGTCTACAGTACTTGCACTGGAAATGGCAGGAAGTCCAAAGTAGCTCTATTTTTTTCTTGCTTTTTTCAACCTGAGATGTTGCTGCAGTACAGTGTTCGTGGTTTTGCACTGATTCAGACCAGAGCAGAGAGGATTCATGGTCCGAAACCATAGACCGTAAATATTAACGGAGGCAGTAACACTCCACCGTTCAAACTAATGTGCCACCATCGCCGTCTATGGGCAGTTTCAAAATGGCCGCAGGGGCTCGAAAATGTGAAAGAACTAGAGCTGTCAAACGATTAAAATTTTTAATCAAGTTAATTACAGCTTAAACATTAATTAATCGTAATTAAACGCATTTTGAACTATCGGCAAAATTATGCCATATTTCTCTGTAAATGGGTGTTTGAATGGAAAAATAAATGACAGTGTACATATGTACTGTATTTGTTATAAATAATATAAATTAATCCACATAAAATGGAATTCACATTATTGGCCTCAGACCAAAACTATTGTTTGTTACAGATGAGGGACATTCCAAAACAGTCTTGAGTATGACCACGTTACGGCGGCGCCGTTCGCCATGTTGCGAACCGCTGTCCAGAGCGGTCACAGCTGCCCCGGGTCAGAACGCTGCGGCCACGAAGGATGCGTAGTCCCGTTCGAGTTCACAGCAGACAACAGCAAGTTCCCTGCGGTCACTCAATTTTTCTGTATGAACACTTCTGAGTGTTATTATGGGATGCATGTGCGGGTCATTCGGTACATGCGTCATTTTTTTTAATTGTGATTAATGAAAAAAAATTATTAACTCATTGAGTGCCAGCCTTGTTTCAACAGCTTGGGTTTAGAATGGCCATGATGTCAATTTTTCCTGATATTTGCAAAGCCACAGCATATTGTCATAATCACATGCTATAAAGTTTGAAAGGTGAGGCTTTGAACTTTCAGATGGTGAAAACCTTCCGTTTCTACCAGCCTTTGCCTCTGAGATATCCTAAGCAAAAGATGGAAAACTTTCATGAAAATCCCTGTGAATTTCCTAGAAAAAGGAGATCGAGACCCTTTTATGACATATGATTTTTTGAGGGTTTTGTTGTCCTGACACATACATTTCTGGGTCCACGGACAGTTATAAGATAGATATATCTTATAGGCGTGGGGTAGGCTACAAAAACCTTTATAAAAGGAATAATTCAATCTATATGAATATTTATACCTCCTTTACAATGAACACTGGAGATGAAATTTGATCCATATGAAGATTTATGGCAACAGCAACAACAACAATACGAATGTACAATTAGAAAACAAATGTTTATTTGTAGGAATATAATAAATAAAAAATAAAAAACATAAAAAGATCCTCCTCCTCCGCTGACAGCGGCAGGAATACACAATATCTTTTTTGACTTCGACCAGGATCACTCTATGAGGCAAAGCGACAACCACTCAAAGCTGCGTAATGAACAATAAATAACGCACATTAAAGTATGTAATGACTTTTAGATCCTCATATAAGCAGTTAATTTCATCATTCCCAAATTTACACACAATGTGTGTCAGGGTGTCTACTTTCAAAATGTAGAAAAAAAAGCCTTTCCGTAAAATTACATTTGTGGCATTCAATGAGTTAACGTGCGTTAACCGATAATTTCGACAGCCCTAGAAAAAACGCATCTGCGCAGGCCTCAGCCGGCACGGGCCACATTCATTTGACGAGTGCCTTCAAACTTTCACCGGGGGCTAAACTAGACTGGTCCAAAAAAATAAAGGTTTTGAAAGGTAAGAAGATGTGTACATTAGCATTGAATAATTCTAATTCCGGGTCCATTGCCATCGGCCCGGGCTGGTCTTGCAAGTATGTAAGCGCACGTTGGCGGCCAACTTTGGGAACCCCTAGACCAGAAAGAGACCACAGAGAGAAGTCGGAGAGAGAGACCAGAGAGAGATCTGATCGAGTTCAGAGCAGAGCAGAGAATGGCCTAGAGGTTTTATGCACTTTCTTTTACAGACATGGAGAAAATAAGACATAAGCTCCACAGAAGTCAAGTCCAGAGTCCAGACCTGACAGCAGTCCGATCAGCAGCATCACAACCCATCCAGACCAGGCGTCCAGGAGACTCTTGATCAGCTCCCACAGGGACTCCTTACTCTTGGAGGTAATCTGATGAGAGAGGAAGAGGAGGAGGAGGAGAAGAGAAAGGAGGAGGAGGAGAGAGAGGAGAGAAAGGGGGAGGAGGAAGAGGAGGAGGAAGAGTGGGTAGAGGACAGAAAGTAGAGAGTGGAGGAGGATAAGGAGGAAGAGAGAGAAGAGACAGAGGAGAGAATGGAGAGAGTGGAGGAGAGAGAGGAGGAAGAAGAGAAGATAGAGGAGGGAGGAGAGAGAGAGAGAGAGGAGGGTCACACAGACAGGTTTTGGCTGTGAGTTTGGAACAGCGCACCCTCACCCAGGGAGGGGGAACCGAGGGGGGGGGTCTGACCTTGCGGTGACGGTCTGTATCACGGCTCTTCTCTCGTAACCAGTCGATGGTGTGAAAGTCTTCGTACTTAGCAACGTCGGGAAACGGCTCGTCCAGGAAGTCCATGAGTCCAGAGCCGTTCATGTCCTCAGTGACCATAGAGCTGCTGCTGCCGCCTGCTGCAGGGAGGGGTATGGGTTAAAGCTGGGGTCTGACACTTTCAGACGACACTAATAGAACTCTGTATTTTCTCACGAGTTTATCAGACAAAGGCTCAAATGGTATGGCTCCTCCTAACTCCAAGACTCCAAACTCTCACACTGCAAAACTTCTACTGGGTCCTAAACAGCCAAAAAGTGCAGTTGGAAGCAGCTCCAGCGCCAAACTCCTAATGTGGAATCAGCTCCTCATCCATGTCCAAGAAGCAGACAGTCTCTACAATCAAGGTCAGGCTTAAAACAGTCTTCACTTCAGCACATGGTTAGATAGGTAAGACACAGGGAATACTTAGAAATACAACGTTAAGTCTAAACACAAAGATTGTCAGTGACGCTGCATATGGAGCTTCCTGCTAGTAGATTATGGAAACAGCACTACCCTCTCCTCTTTTCATCAGTATGACTTCAGCTGTTGTCTGTTCATTGCCATTCACTCACTGTCCCATTGTCCGTTTAATGTCGTAATGATGGGACCCCTGAAATTGAAGTCCTTCATTTGCTCATTTGGACCGTCTTCCCAGGATTTGTGGGCTGCACCCTCTCTCTGCAGCCCACAGCCTCAGTCCAGGATCTGCAGCCTCAGTCCAGGATCTGCAGCCTCAGTCCAGGATTTGCAGCCTCATTCCTGCAGCCTCAGTCCTGCAGCCTCAGTCCTGCAGCCTCAGTCCTGCAGCCTCAGTCCAGGATCTGCAGCCTCAGTCCAGGATCTGCAGCCTCAGTCCAGGAATCTGCAACCTCAGTCCTGGATCTACAGCCTCAGTCCTGGATCTACAGCCTCAGTCCAGGATCTGCAGCCTCAGTCCAGGATCTGCAGCCTCAGTCCTGGATCTACAACCTCGGTTCTGGATTTACAGCCTCAGTCTGTGTTATAATAAATAATGTGGGCCTCCCCGAGGTTTCTCACTTTTCTCTCACTGGGTTTTTAAGAGTTGTTCCTTGTAGATCCGGGAGGACAGTGGTCAGTGGGGTACAGTGGTGATGATCCAGGACATTTAAGGACTTCTATTAACATTAATGGACATTAGTCATTTGCAACTTGTGTACGACTGGTTCTATACAGATATTATACAACCCTTTGTACAATGTCATCTGCTCCAGTTATACCCACAATATAATAATAATAAAGCAGCAACAATCAGTGCATTCGTCTTGTATTCCACCCATTAAAAAGCCTTGTCTGACAAAACTGCATTCGAAATTACGAAATATCGACTCATAGCAATATAGTCTATTCATTCAAATATTAGTCACGCAATGAGAAACAGCTTTTTTATATATATATATTTATAAATATATTCCCAAGGGCTCTGTGCTGAAGAACAGCTTGTGTATGTAAGCAGTGGGACTATAGTCTTACATGGATCCTCTGAATGCAGTATTTTCGCCGTAAACATGTGAAATGTGATGATAATAACAACGCTGTCAACGTTAGCCGCAGAAGCTAACATGAAGCACTTCTCACCTTCTCCCGCCTCCATCTTTAGGTTTAAAGTCTTCTTCGTGTTTGTAACAAAGGCCGAATCACTGGTTGTTTACGTCTTTCTTCATATTGTCCGCGATTTGCACAGAAACGTGGAGGTTTAGTACAGAATGGGGCAGCAGCGTCACAGAAGCTAGCGCGTCTCGGACTACAAACATGGCGGCGAGTGTCGGAGGACTACAAGCACGGATTTAAAATATATAAAACCTAATTTATACATCAAAATTACAAAAGTACTCGTCTTAAATGAACTTAAGTATACGTACAAAAACAAAGATAACCCTGGTGTGCGTAACTTTAGTCTCGTAAATGACACATGTTTAAAGCTGGGGTTTGTAACTTTAGTATTATAAATAAAACCCGTTTAAAGCTAGGGTCTGTAACTTTAGTCTCATAAATAACACATTTTTTTAACCTGAGGTACGTTACTAAGAACTCTAACACAAAAGAACTTTGAGCATTATATATTTTCTCTTGAATATGTTTCTTTTGTCGTTAGTATTTGACCCCTGTTCTTAACAGAAGAACAGGAAGTGGAATCTCTTCATGGTTGCTTCCATCATGTAGTTTGTCCAACATAGTCTTAGACCGCAACATGCTGTCTTCATCTGACCCTAAGAAAGAAAAGAACCCTGTAAGTCACTATCTGACTCTTTAGGCTTAATGGGGTGGACCTGCTTTAGACCTGCTTCAGTCCTGCTTTGGACCTGCTTTGGACCTGCTTTAGACCTGCTTCAGTCCTGCTTTATGGTATGGTAAGTACTTTATTTGAGCAGGGACATTGTACACATAAGCATTAACACAAAGGAGAGATTTATTGTACCAAGTTATAGCAAAGATGCTAGTTTCCACCTGTAGTCCCTGGGCAGGCTGATGTTATATTCAAATTCTAATGTAGAGAGATACATAAATTAGTCATACATATACAGACTTTAAATAACATAATTCACAAAACATTTCATTTAATATCAATAAATACAGTTCCCAAACTTCTACTAAAATATTACCCTCACTCACACGTGTGCAAACTTGGTTTTCCAGAAGCCATTTCTTAGTCAGACAAGAAAATGTTTTAATACAATAATCTCTGTGGGCAGAGTGTTCCACTGACTCATGGCCGTCACAGAGAAAGCAGATTTAGCAAACGTTGTTCTACATTTTTTGATGCTGCATTCTCCTCTAGAGGTGGATCGAGTTTTATCTGCACTCAATGTTATGAATTTTGTCAGACGAGGTGCACTAACACCATGGATCATTTTAAACAGGAAACAAACATTGGACTAAAATGTTAGGTTTTTCAAAGTTGAGAAAGTCCTATTTAGAGAGGATGGGACAGTGATGGTACCGCCTGGACTTCTTATCATGGATCTTAAGGGCACACTTGTACAGTGACTCGAGAGGTCCCAGAGTGGTTTTACAGCCCTGAGACCAGCTCGAGACACAGTATACAAAATGTGACAGGATCATGGAGTTCAGATACAGATGGGACGCCTCAGTGGTGAGTGACCCCCGAATGTATCTGAAGTTGGCCAAATTAAACTTAAGATTGTTATGAAGTTTCTTTACATGATGTTTGAAAGTCAGGTTGTTATCCAGGGTCATTTTTAATTTTACAACTGATGCATGGGGCGACAGTAGCTCAGTTGGTAGAGCATTGGCCTTAGAGCCTGAAGGTCGTGGGTTCAATCCCACCGTAAGACCTACTTCACGACTCCCACTGATGACTGCTGTCGTTGTGTCCTTGGGCAAGACACTTAACTCCACTTTGCCTGAAGCTCCAACTGAAAGATCTCAGCTCCTGTGGACTCAGCACCTGCAGGAGGATCAGTGAGGGGCTGGTGCTCTGTGGACTGGGTGCAGCTCCCCAACCCAGAAATGGATTAAGGGGAAGAAAATGGATGGATGGATGGAACTGATATGCTTAGTTTGTAAAATACATTGAGACGGTTTTGTCTGTATTTGATGTCAGACTCTTTCATTTCATTTGTTAATTTTGTTGTCACATAATTTTAGTTTTTGCCATGAACAAACAAGACTGTACGTCAGCATTCATGATGAAGTTTGCAGTGCAGACAGAGACAGACATATATATAAATGCTAAAGGCCCCAAAATGGAGCCCTGTGGCACTCCCATGGTGTAATCTGAGTGGAGAGAGGTGTTGTTCACTCTCACACTCTCACATGAGGGAGCTTTAGCCAGTGTCTGGTTAGAGAGGTGAGGGGGTCAAGGAACACCGCCCCCACCACTCCCCTTGATCAAGGTAGATCTAATCCTTTCAGTAGTAGGCGACTTCTGAGTATTTGCTTCTAGAATTGTAGAGGGTTTAAGAAGCATCGGTGTCAAAAGTCAGTGAGCCGCTCTGCTACAACTTTTTCAAAGATGTCGGAGATAGTGGGTGGGATGCTGATGGGGCGGTTGTTGCTGACCTCCTGTTTGTCCCAGACTTGTGCACAGGTGTGACGATGCCAGGTTTCAGCGCTGCCGGAAATATCCTGTCACTTTTTGACAGATTTATAGTTTTTGTATGAGGTAGGCTACTATTTACTTTTGCTTCCTTAATTAAGTTAAGGAAGAATGTGGCCTTGGCTTTTTTACTTTATTTCGTTTGTGTATTTTGAAGGCTTTTGTAGACCAGGTGGTTGATCATTTGTCTTTTATAATTTATTTCAAAGCAGCATGTCTTTTCTTCATTCATTTCCTAAGTTCAGCGTTACACTAAGACAGACTCTGCTTCTGTGTCGGATTCCTTTTTTTCCTTTTTGTTCATTTTTGGACGGTCAACGTTAACTCACCACATGATGTTCTTCCAGTTGGTTTGGTCTATATCATTTTCTAAGCGTGGGTTTATTTGTAAAAAATAAGATTGAATAATGTTTGAGACATTTTAGTTACTCTTGTTGGTTCATTTATCATTCGGGTCATCTGATCTTAAGTTTTGTCTACAGTAGCATGCTGCATCATTCCAATTTATATTGAAGTCTCCCATGAGTAAAATGTCTTTGCCATCAAACATTTTAAGCATTTCAAACAGTTTAGACTTAGAGTAAAATCATTCTGGCTCTAGGTTGACAATGGAGAGCAATGATAACAAATGACATTTCTGTAGAGAGAGTGACAGTGACTCCTGCACATTCTAATTTATGTTTGGTGAGGTCTATCTCCTTACTTTGGATAATAACTTTAACATAAATCAGAACACCTCCTCTCTTTCCCCTTTCTCTATCCCGTCTATAAACATTGTAGCCTTGGAAAGAAAATACAGACAGGGGTGAAGTGGCACATAACCAGGTTTAACTTTGACATAAAAAGTCCAGGTTAGAGTCCGATAAAAGGTGTTCGATTCCTCTTTCTTTGTATTTAGCTGTCCTCCGAAGATACCTTTTGGTTTTGTGTCAGAGTTCCAGAGCACGCTTGCATGATTGACAGTTTGAAAAAGTTTGATCCATTTCAGTTTTGAAGCCACGAGTGCTTGATGGTGCGTGTTCAGTTTGTACAGTCTGGAAAAAAGTTTTTAGGCATGTTTTCTCGTGCGTGAACCGTCAGAGTGAACCATCAATACACAGTAGGAGGAGTGTTTACCTGTGGTTGATGTTGAGAGGCCATAGGCAGGTCTGCGGGATCTGCTTTAGTCCTGCTTTAGTCCTGCTTTAGTCCTGCTTTCAATCTCATTTAGTCCTGCTTTAGTCCTGCTTTAGTCCTGCTTTCAATCTCATTTAGTCCTGCTTTAGTCCTGCTTTAGTCCTGCTTTCAATCTCATTTAGTCCTGCTTTAGTCCTGCTTTAGACCATACTTTAGACTGGCTTTAGACCTGCTTTTGACCTGCTTTAGACCTGCTTTTGACCTGCTTTAGACCTGCTTTTACCTGCTTTTGACCTGCTCTTTGAATGTAAAGCTTTAATATTACTCATAAATGGGTCCAAACACATGTTCAGGTCTCTGAGGAACAGTATGGTAGATGTCTGCAGCTGATGTCTGGTTTTGGGGCCGTGGTCCAAGGCTGTGCAGAGTACAGGGTTGGAGGTTGTTATGGGATGGATGCGTTGCTAATGGCGATTCAAGGCCACAGTCTAATGGAGGGTTTGAGATTCACCGGTTTTGGTCCATTAGGCCTCAACAACATCCGACAAAATCAACAAACAACAAGTCTGAGCACAATGATAAGGCTATCGAACCAGGTCTAAAGCTGGTCTAAAGGCAGGTCGAAAGCAAGTTTTAAAGCAGGTCTAACGCATGGTCTACATGGTATATAGCGATTGTAATCGTAATGATTCTATTTTAAATACCTAGAAGTGTAGTGTTTTTATTATGCTGATTTTTATTAGGCCTTACTCTATTCTCTATTCTTTACTCTCTCTTTTCTGACTGTTGCACCGAGCCAAAGCAATTTCCTAGTCTATGACTTCCTGTTACTTACATGGCAATATAAATTAATCTGATTTTCTGATTGCGTGTCTCCACTGCAGGAACCTTCCCCACAGGGCCATTTACAAGAACTTTTACGGGTCCCAACAGAATCCCTCCTCCATGCTAGGGACTCCGTTGGGCCCTGGTGGGACTTGAGGTTTACTGGGCCCTGATTGGCTAAAGTTAGTGCAGGCTCTGACGCCAGCAGAAAGGACCCAAACAACCAGCATTTTAAAAAATCCAGCAGCATTAGCCCAACAGCATTAGCCCAACAGCATTAGCCCAACAGACACCACTGGAAACAGCGACCAACAGCACAGCATTGATTCAGACGGGGTTTGAGGGCGAAATGAAAAAGATACAGTAAGACATATCAGCCTCTCCTCGAAGCGTTGAACAGAGCACTTTAATGATCTTGCACTTTGTATTGAAATTGTTTTTAGCCGATCGTTTTCACAGTGACAATTGTTTTACTGTTTTATTTGTTTTTTTGTTTTTTTTTGTACTTTTAATGTTGTTTTATGTCTGTACTTGTGCACCACTGGGGACTTTTGCTAATGAATTCCAATGTGGTTTTACTGCAAATGGCAAATAAATGAATCTGAATCTGAATCTGATGCTCCTGTTGCTCCGGTTTCTCTCGGTGAGGCCTTTGACAGCGCCCCCGAGGAACAGTGAAAACATGAGGCTGAGGTTTGTGGACATGTGACCTGATACATCTGCCTCTCTGTCGTCAGCATGAAATCTCCATCCTCCATGTTTCCTCCAGTCCTTTCACCAACACAAACCCAAAGACAGACACTGATCCAGGTCTAATCCGGGTCTAATCCAGGACTAGGTCTGGACAAGGTATTTGTGAGGACACCTGTAAATGACGCTCAAACACAAGGGTGCCAATCCTCCACATTCAGCCACTGACCTTTACAAACACACACACACACACACCACACACACGCACACGCACACGCACACACACACACACACACACACACACACCACACACACGCACATGCACACGCACACGCACACGCACACACACACACACACACACACAGGCACACGCAATACATAACATTAAAGCTGGGGTCTGTAACTCTCAGACCATTAGAACTCTGTATTAAGTCCTGGCTCTAAAACTGGCTCTAAAAGTTCACTATTTTCACATCCTGTATTTGTGATGTCACATCTTTAGATCAAAGAGAGGACCACGGCGAAGTGAGGGTGGTCACTAAGCTGCCCAAAGAGGCAGATAGTGACTCGCAGGGCTCTTTCTTACATTAAAGTCAACCTGTTTTCTTTGTGACATATTCAAAGCAGACCCATCCCTGAAGGAGTCCCACAGGGGTCTGTACTCACCCCAATGCTTTTCACACCGATATAATACATGTTTTAATCCTGACCCCCCCCCGGTTCAAACACAGTGAGAAAAAAAGTACAGGAGAGAGAGACTAGAAAGAGGACCAGATGCCAAAGAGAGATATTATTTTATTCTGTATTCATAGAGATAATATAATTGTAGGAATACTCCGACCCAGGTTTTTTTCATGAATAAACTAGAGGACTTATTAAACTGCATCAATGGCTTCAACAAAAACTGTTTTATTCTTGGGGACTTAAACATCGACCTGGCCAAAAATCTCTGCACTTCATCGAACCGACCCTGAAGATCAGAGTCAACCTGAAACATGAGATCCTGGTTAATTCCCACTGGACAGAGACTAGGCCTGTCACCTGTCATGGTGGATAAAATTGGCCCAGATTTGTTTGCGATGGTCCATGCTGGTCACATTATTATTAAGAACGATGGACCAAAACCCAAAACGAAAAAAGGGTTTCATCACAAAATGTCCAAATCAGGAGGGGCCTGGTTTGAAGGAAAGAGGATGGGGAAACTACCAGGACGGCTCCAGGACGGTACTGAAGTTGGATGGGTGCAGGTGCAGGGGGCTACATAGCTAGGTACACTTGGTGTGGATGGAACAATCTGGCACTGGAGGGGGGGGGGGGACAGGGTCCTGTTTTGGAATGGTGGAATGGTGATCAGGTGTGGAGCTCAGCACAATTGATATTGAGGAGAGACCAGTTATAATCCACTGAGACCAGGAGAGACCGGTTATGATTCTACTGGAACCAGGATAGACCCACCCTGACTGAGGAAGACCCTTTTTACCAAGGTCAATCCGCACTTTCTCTCCCACGTGACGATAGATCTCCACCAGAGAGTTCAGTGCCACGCCTCTTACCTGAAACACAGGATTACAGAGGATTACCCAGCAGCCACCACACCTCTGCTGCTGTGATTTAAAGTGAGGTTGCTTTTCTGCTGCTACTGAACACCTACATTTATCCTACAGGGAATCACGATTCTACAGGATTCCACAGGATTCCAATGGATTCCAAAAGATTCCAAAGAATTACACAGGATTACAGTGGATTACACGAGATTATACAGGATTATAGAGATTTCATGTGTTTATAACCTGTAATAATTTCTCACCGCGCTACTCAGATCCTCCAACAAACTGCAGATGTGAGGCACGATTTTGCTCAACGTCAAACTCTGCGACCCAAATCTACAAACAAGAAACAGATTTTACCGAAGAATCGAGTGGATCCCAAGACTGAAGACAAACTGAGGAGGAGGAGGGGTGCGGAGGAGGGAGTGGGTGGGGTGGGGAAGGGATGGGAGGGGAGGAGGTCACTCACACGTTCAGAGTGGACATCAAGCACAGACACAGTCCTTCTCTTGTTCTGCTGTTCTTGTGTTTGAAGCCTCCCATCATCCGCTCCCACACGAACTATAAAAACAGAAGAGGAAGAGACAGAAGAAGAAACAGAGACATCAGTATTTGTTAGAACAAAATCTGTAAACACGCCTCTCGTTCTGCCACATGATGTTTTATCACATCATGTGTGTGGCCACAGCTGCTATGGAACACTTACCTGGGGGTTGGCTGCCACAGCCGCCCTGGGACAGTTACCTGGGGGTTGGCTGCCACAGCCGCCCTGGGACAGTTACCTGGGGGTTGGCTGCCAAAGCCGCCCTGGGACAATTACCTGGGGATTGGCTGCCTGGTCCATGATCTTTAGCAGCAGAGCCTGGTCCTGCTCTCGCACTCTCTCTGTGACGTCTCCCAAACGATCCATGAGGCTCGGCAGAACTGCAACAAGCACGAATGGAGTGAGGGAGAGAGCAGCACGAGCCCAGAGTGGAGTGAGGGAGAGAGCAGCACGAGCCCAGAGTGGAGTGAGGGAGAGAGCAGCACGAGCCCAGAGTGGAGTGAGGGAGAGAGCAGCACGAGCCCAGAGTGGAGTGAGGGTGTTACCTGTGGCCACCTGAGTCCTGAAAGCCTCCTGCAGAAGAGAGACCAGAGCCGAGAGGAGCTCCATCCCCAACAGGACCACCTGCAGAGAGAGACCACAGGGACCGAGGCTGAGGACAGAGGACAGAGGACAGAGGACAGAGGAGAGAGGAGAGAGAGGAGAGAGGACAGAGGACAGAGGACAGAGGACAGAGGAGAGAGGACAGAGGAGAGAGGAGAGAGGACAGAGGACAGAGGACAGAGGACAGAGGACAGAGGAGAGAGGAGAGAGGACAGAGGAGAGAGGACAGAGGACAGAGGACAGAGGACAGAGGACAGAGGAGAGAGGATAGAGGACAGAGGACAGAGGACAGAGGACAGAGGAGAGAGGAGAGAGGACAGAGGACAGAGCCTAAACAAACAAGACAACCAATACCATAGTTGGAAAAGGGACACAATGGACACACACACAGTCTCACCTCACAGTCGCCGTGGTTCACCCAGACACACACCACAGTGTCCACTGCTCGATCCACAGTGCTCTGGTCCTGAACCAGAGCGGGACAGTCCTGAACCATCTGCAGGACATGTCCCAGAGTCCTGGTCTCTGCGTGAGAGAGGAGCTGGAGGAGGACCTCTGGGGAAACATCAGGAGGAACATCGGGACCAGGACTCTGTGGACACAGCCCCTCCTCTGGATCCATCTGCAGAGATAAAGACAAGCTAAAGCAGGTCTAAAACAGGACTAAAGCAGGTCTAAAACAGGACTTAAGCAGGACCAAAACAGGACTAAAGCAAGACTAAAGCAGGACTAAAGCAGGACTAAAACAGGACTAAAGCAGGACTAAAGCAGGTCTAAAGGCTGGACTCACCTCTGCTTCAGATTGGTGGGTCAGATTCATGTGAGGTCAGAGGTCAGAGTCCTCAGCGCTGGAGCGAGGTGCAGTGACATGATCCTGATCAAACACACTGATCACGTTACTGAAGTGAGAAAGTTTTAAGGTCAAAGAAACAATGAAATGTATTTATATCACTATCAAAAGGTACAGTATATAATAATAATAATAATGTATCGGTTTTATATAGCGCTTTTTTGGACACTCAAAGACGCTTCACATGTGTCATTATTCATTCACTCCATACACAGTAGAGATAAACTATTACTGTAGCCACAGCTGCCCTGGGGCACACTGACAGAAACGGGGCAACCAGTATGTGCCATCGACCCCTCTGACCATCACCAACCATTCACACACACACCAAACTCATTCTAGGCAATGGGGGTGAAGGGTCTTGCCTAAGGACACAACGGCAGTTTGCCACTTTACAGCCACAGCCGCCCCGCTGTGGCACCTGGTGTTCCCATATATAAGAGGGTTTTCTTCTTCCGGGTGGATCATCAATACCATTGGTCCTCCTAATTGTCAATCATTCTGGTGATACCAGAATTTGGTTCAAATAGTGGAGAGGGCGGTTCTTTCCTAAAATTTGGGAAAATCCTATATACCATTTACTAACAACAAACACAGAGCTGATTAAACAGAGAAAGAGTCAAAACTAAACGTCTAAAGCAGGTCTAAAGCAGCTCTAAATATGGTCGAGAGCAGGTCCAAGCTCTGTACCAGAAGTGTGTCTAGTTCTGACCTGGTTTAGTCCTGAACCAGGTCTAAACCAGGTCTAAACTAAACCAGGTCTAAACTCCGGTGAATTTTCGTTCCTGTGCAGTTAGCTTGAGGCGTTAACTTTATTAAAATCACACTCTTTCATTCATTTGAACGTAAATCTTAGGTGTGAACTAACGGCTACATTAACATCAATCATTAGCCGTGCACGCGCAGCCTCTCGCGGCGCTGATTGGCTGTTATTGATCAGTTTGCTCCGGATTGGCCTCACCTCGCCCCAGAGCGTGGTTAACGGGGCTGGTCCGATCTGCTCCGGTTTTGTTCGGCCTATTTCAGGTCTGGTCCAGGTCCGGTTTCCGGAGCTGGTAAATATTCTGAAGAGGCAGAGACGAAAGGCGAAAGCAGAGCAGATGTGCGCTGTTCTCGTTGGGCCACCGTAGCACTGCAGTGAGAGAGGGCTCCATCTGCTGGACACACACGGAACTACAACTGCATTATTTATCTGTATTCAAACTATCTCCATGTTTGTATGTATGTGTTTGTTTGTATTTACATATATATTAATTATTATTTTATAGTTTATATATATATATATATATATATAAATATTTATTTTTATATTTACGAAAAAGTGGGCCAAAAGGTCCATGACATCCTAGAAAGAGAATTATCCAATTCTTTTGAACGGCATCTTCTTTTCTCTTGATAATGGCCTTACAGAATGGTCCAAAAGTCGGCTCTTAGCCCAAAGCTACGTTCCAGGTGTGTGGAGGTTTTGTTGTTGTTGACCTTTCTAGTTTAGCCGCTGTGGACTTCAGAAGGCACTGATTAAATTAATGGAGCTAGTGCCGGCTAACACATTTGCACACCTGGAGCCAGCACCAGCTCCATTTTGAAAAAGCAACACAGAAGCCAAAAGTCATAGAACATAAGTTTCAATGACAGAGATAGACATGACATTACAAACACACTTCTGTCGCTGATTTTGTGATTTTAAAGTTTCTTGAAAAAGTCTTCATACCCTGTTCACATGTGTCTGAGATCCATTGAAAAACAAGACACGGCCATACACTTGAACTATTAAGCCCAACAAGGAGACAACTAATCACAGATGCAGTCAAGAGGCCAATGATTACTCTGGTGGACTAAACCAGGACTAAAGCAGGACTAAAGCAGGACTAAAAGTAGGACTAAAAGCAGGACAAAAAAAAGGACTAAAACAGGTCTCAACAAGGACTAAACCAGGACTTTCTTGTCAGGTGGGTCTGACAGTCCTCTTCAGAACAGCTGTCGTCTCTGAGTGATTTTACTTCAGTTAAATCGCAGACTCCTCTGCTCCTACGTCTGTGGAACACCCTCATGATAATCTCAATATAATTTTATTTCAATTCAATTATCAATTCAAGATAATCTGTAAGTGTGAAAATGGCAACAAAAACCATTCACTTTGTGGTGAACGGACACGAGGAGACGGCAGAGTTTGGACTCAGCAGCAGCGACAGAGACGTCCAAGGTAAAACCTGCATATACAGTATACACAGTGTGTGTGTAGGTGTGTGTGTGTGTGTGTGTGTGTGTGTGTACGTGTATATGTTATATGCATATCTAATATAAGCTTTAATGGTTTCAGAATTATATGTAGATATACACGTTATAGAAGTAATAATACTACATGAAAGACCACAACAAACAGGCGACAGAACACATTAAGTTTGACTCTACAAGCTGTGCACATCTAGAGTTTCGCCCATTCCTCTTTACAGAACAGCTGCGTCAGATCAGAGGAGAGCGTTTTGGGCCATTCTAATATTGTGATATTGTGTGACTGGTTGTCTGAGTGCAGGTAGATGCTTGTGTGTGCGAACGTGCCTTTGTGTGTGTCTGGTCGGTTTGCAGTGTTGTTGGTTGGTTTCTAGTGTTGTTGAGAGGTTCGCAGTGTTGTTGGAAGTTTTGCAGTGTCTGTGTACTAATGTCTGCTCTCCTTCAGAACTCTTCCGAGCCACAGCAGAAGTGGGAGCGGACCACATCTTGAAACTCTTCAGCTCAAATGGACAACTGTTGAAGATCTCAGCGTCTCTGCAGCAGAACCAGAGAAGCGCCCCCTACAGGCTGCAGCTAGAGTCATGTAAGAGCTCCCCCTACAGGCTCCAGCTAGAGTCATGTAAGCGCTCCCCCTACAGGCTGCAGCTAGACTCATGAAAGAGCTCCCCCTACAGGCTGCAGCTAGAGTCATGTAAGAGCTCCCCCTACAGGCTCCAGCTAGAGTCATGAAAGAGCTCCCCCTACAGGCTGCAGCTAGACTCATGAAAGAGCTCCCCCTACAGGCTGCAGCTAGAGTCATGTAAGAGCTCCCCCTGCAGGCTCCAGCTAGAGTCATGAAAGAGCTCCCCCCACAGGCTGCAGCTAGAGTCATGTAAGCGCTCCCCCTACAGGCTGCAGCTAGACTCATGAAGAGTCATGAGTCTAGCTCAGGGATGTATTTTGAGTCCTTTGCTTTTTACTTTGTACACTCACGATTGTGTGTCCTCCTCTGACTCAAACTTGATCATCAAATATGCTGATGACACCACCATCATCGGTCTCATCAGTGACAATGATGAATCCTCTTATAGAGCAGAGATACAAAATGTGGTTCAGTGGAGTAAAACTAACAACCTCCAGTTGAACGCATCGAAAACATGTGAACTGGTCTACGACTTCAGTCGCAATAGTTCTCATTTGCCTGTCGTAATCGACAACTCCCAGGTACAGATCGTAGAGGAGTGCAAGTTTCTGGGTCTAACTCTGTCTAACGACCTGAAATGGGTTAAAAACACTGACTGAGTCGTTAAGAAAGCTCGTCAGCGTCTCTACTTTCTGCGTAAACTTAGAGAATTTACCACTAACTCTAAGATTCTGCTTAACTTTTATCGCTGCACCATTGAGAGTTTACTTGTTGGTTCTGTGTCTGTGTGGTTTGGAAACATCACAGATAAAGAAAAGAGAGCTTTAAACAAGGTGCTCCGCTCTGCAAAGAGGACTGTGGGCTGTGAGCTTCCTGTTCTGGAGGTTCTTTATAAATCCAGACTTTTAAACCGAGCTCTTAGGATTGTCAATGACTCTTCTGGCCACCCTGGGAAAGCCATGTTCCAGCTTCTTCCCTCTGGCAGAAGATATCGCTCTCTGAGATGCAGGACATCTCGTTACGCTAACAGTTTTTATCCACAAGCTGTTATCAGTGTGAACAGAGCACTTTAATGATTTGCACTTGTTTGAACTGTTTTAGTCGATCGATTTCACAGTGACATTTGTTTACTGTTTTATTTGTTTTATTATTGTCTTTTAATGTTGTTTTATGTCTGTATTTGTCTGTGCACACTGGAGACTTTTGCTAATGTATTCCAATGTGGTTTTTTTACTGCAAATGGCAAAATAAACTGAATAAGAATCTGAATCTGAAAGAGCTCCCCCTACAGGCTGCAGCTAGAGTCATGTAAGAGCACCCCCTACAGGCTGCAGCTAGAGTCATGTAAGAGCACCCCCTACAGGCTGCAGCTAGAGTCATGTAAGAGCTCCCCCAACAGGCTGCAGCTGGATTCATGAGACTGTGTGACTGTGACGTCATGTGACCGCAGGTGCAGATGTTGCAGGGGTGGCCATGCCGACGCAGCTGGTCGCCATGGAGACACGTGTGCAACAGCTGGAGACGCGAGTGATGGAGCTGAACCGGAGTCCAGAACTTCTGCACGAGTTAGACCAGGAAGTGGAGGACTTCAAGAGGAAACTACAGGTACAAGTACAAGTACTAATACTGGTACTTCTACTACTAATACTGTCGCTGCTGCTACTTCCCCTGTGTGCAGAGTGTGGAGCACTTGAGCTGGATGGGTTTGTTCAGAGACAACACAGAGAAGTTCATTCATAAAACTGGGCCGAGACTAACGACGGCGCACGCGACCCGTGTGAGTTCACACGCGACCCCTGTGAGCTCACACGCGACCCCTGTGAGCGCACATGCGACCCCTGCGAGTGTGGAGAGGCAGAAGCTGCGCACCAGGTTTCTCAACATGAGGTTGGAGACAGCAGCTTGTTTCTGTGTCAGAGTCCAGTTCAAACAACTGTGTGTCTGCAGCTCTCTACAGGTCAGTGAGGAGGTCAGAGAGCATCTGAAGACACCAGTGTTCGACAACTGGTGAGTCCCTCTGCTCTCTGTCTGGTCTCTCACCCACCGGTCTCTCCCTCTGGTCTCTCCCTCTGGTCTCTCCCTCTGGTCTCTCCCTCTGGTCTCTCCCTCTGGTCTCTCCCTCTGGTCTCTCCCTCTGGTCTCTCTCTGGTCTCTCTCTGGTCTCTCTCTGGTCTCTCTCTGGTCTCTCTCTGGTCTCTCTCTGGTCTCTCTCTGGTCTCTCTCTGGTCTCTCTCTGGTCTCTCTCTGGTCTCTCTCTGGTCTCTCTCTGGTCTCTCTCTGGTCTCTCTCTGGTCTCTCTCTGGTCTCTCTCTGGTCTCTCTCTGGTCTCTCTCTGGTCTCTCTCTGGTCTCTCTCTGGTCTCTCTCTGGTCTCCCCGTGGTCCCTTTGGTCTCTCTGGTTCAGGCAATGGGAGGACTCTGAGATGCTGGTCCTCCTTCAGACCATGTTTGAGGACCTGGGCTTCGTGTCAGAGTTCCAGATGGAGACCAGTATCCTGCAGAACTTCCTGCTGGAGGTCCATCGTCACTACAACTCCATCCCCTTCCACAACTTCAGCCACTGCTTCTGCGTCACCCAGATGGTACAAGTACATTTACCAGTACCAAGTATCTTGTCCTCTCCCTCCTCTGTCCTCTTTCTTCTGTCCTCCTCAGATGTATGGACTGATCTGGATCACGGAGCTCAGGACCAAACTGAGCAGGACTGACCTCCTGATCATGATCACCTCAGCTCTTTGCCATGACCTGGACCATCCAGGATACAACAACGTGTACCAGGTGAACCCAGGACCAGGACTGGACTGGACCAGGACTGGACCAGAACAGACTCTGTTCTCTTTCAGATAAACGCTCAGACAGACCTGGCGCTCCGATACAACGACATCTCACCTTTAGAAAACCATCACTGTGCTGTTGCCTTCAGCATCCTGTCCAAGGTTGGACCTGTTTTAGATCTTCTTTAGACCTGCATTGGTTCTGCTTTAGTCCATCTATAGACCTGTTTTAGACCTGCTTTAGACCTACTTCTCCTCTGGTCTGTTTCTCAGCCCGCCTGTAACATCCTGAAGAACGTGACATCAGATCAATACAAACAGATCCGCTCTGGAATGATCAAGTGAGACTAAAACGTCACTTTCTGGTCTCTCTGGTCTCTCTCTGATAGTTTCTCTGCTGCAGGTGTATCCTGGCCACAGATATGGCTCGTCACAATGAGATCCTCAATAAGTTCAAATCCTTTCAACCAGCGTTTGACTTCAGCAACAAGGAGCACAAAGAAGTGGTACTGACTCCTCCTCCTTCTCTCTCCTCTTCCTCTTTTCACTCCTCTCTCCTCCTCCTGCAGCTGATGAAGATCCTGGTGAAGGTGTCAGACATATCTAATGAGGCGAGACCAGTGTCAGTGGCAGAACCATGGCTCGACTGTCTGCTGCAGGAGTTCTTCAACCAGGTCCAACACTCTCGCTGGTCTCTCTCTCTCTGGTCTCTCTCTCTCTGATCTCTGGTCTCTCTCTCCCGGTACCAGAGCGACACAGAGAAGTCTCGTGGATTACCTGTGACTCCGTTCATGGACAGAGATAAAGTTTCCAAACCTTCATCTCAAACTAACTTCATCACATTTGTGCTTTTACCACTTTTCACCGAACTCACCAAACTGTTCCCGTGTCTGGAGGTGAGAGGGGGGGGGAGGTGGGGGGCAGGTTAGAGGTTAGAGCTGTACTTTATTCCCAGATGTTCCTGTTCCCTGCAGCTGCACATCCTGGAGCCAGTGAGGAGAGCTCTAGAGTATTATGGAGATCTGGAGAAGGCCTCGAACCTCAAACACTGAGGACGAAGACTCTCAAACACTGAGGACGAAGACTCTCAAACACTGAGGATGAAGACTCTCAAACACTGAGGATGAAGACTCTCAAACACTGAGGATGAAGACTCTCAAACACTGAGGATGACCTTGGTTGATAAATAAAGACGACTCACTTTAACCCTAAAGATGAAGACTTGCATTGTTACTTTGCATTCAAAAAACAGCAGCTCGAGTCCTGACTAGAACCAGGAAGTACGACCACATTAGTCCAGTTCTCAGGTCTCTGCACTGGCTTCCTGTGGCTCAGAGAATAGACTTTAAAACAGCTCTGCTTGTTACAAGTCTCTCCATGGCCTCGCACCAAAATATATTAGTGACATGTTAGTCCCATATGAACCAGCCCGGACTCTGAGGAGCACAGGGACTGGACTCCTGTTAGTGCCCAGAGTCAGAACTAAACATGGGGAGGCTGCTTTTCAGATTCATGCTGCAAAAATCTCATACAATCTTCCTGAAAATGTGAGACAGGCTTCTTCTCTGACAATGTTTTAATCCAGGCTAACAGATTTCTTTAGCCGAGCATACTGTACAACGGAGGAATTTTTATCTTTTTTTAATGTACTGAGATTATTTATGATTTTAATGCTTTCTTGTTTTGTTCATCACTTTGGGTTGCCTTGTGTATGAATTGTGCTATACAAATAAACTTATTTCAGTTTGATGATTCTCTAATTATCTGAAAGTACAAAGGAATAAATCACAGGATCATGTTTTATGTAGAAGGAGTGAATATTAAAAGTTATAAAACTGAAGATTTATTACTTCTAATAATACCCCCTTACCTCAGCTTTAAGACTTTGGTTCAGACCCCACTTTTCTGCCACGTTCTCCCACAGTGAGCGAGTCTTGCCAGGTCCAGTCTGTGGTTCTGGTGATGAACATGTTTCTTTTATTCAAAGTGCATCGTACTTAAATAGTGGACGTTTACAACACGCAGTATTTACATCAGACATAAATACATCAGAAACAGGTTTTAAAGTCAAACAGGAATAAAACAGTAACAGAAGCTGAATGTTGCAGTATTTAGCTCTAAGTTTAAATTCTTGTATCTTGTATCCAACTTCATTTTGGCAGAATTTCTACATTTCAAAAACAGATGGTGACAAAATTAAAAGTGCTTATTGATTGCAACATGTGACATCACCGTCTGGTCCCTTCACATAGATCCATCTGTTTAAGATGTTTCTGCTTTTCAAGTTCAGATGTTAAAAATTGGCAACGGATGTTAGTTTGTGAATATGTTTTTCTCTCTCGGGTCTCTCTCGGGTCTCTCTCGGGTCTCTCTAGGGTCTCTCTAGGGTCTCAGTTGAACATGATAGACTCTGGGTCCTGGTTCATCATCTGGGCCATATGTCGGAGAACGTCCTTCTTGGTGATGATTCCCAACAGACGCCTGGAATAGAAAGTTGGCGATCAGCAGAATTTCTTTTTTAAAGGTGATGTCTATAACTTCAATTTTTTTTCTGTTGGACACATGATTCTGTGGATAGTAAGAATTGTGCATATTAAAGATATTTAAAACAGTGCCTCCCCTTGGAATAAAGTTACATACCCTAGCTTTAAGGTCTTTAAGGTCTCTAAGGTCTCTAAGGTCTCTAAGGTCCTACCCGCTCCTGGTGACCAGGCACTGCCTCAGGCCCAGCTTCCTGAAGATGTCCACCACGGTCTCCATGGGGGTGTGGTCTGTGACGGTGAAGGGGCTGAGGTTGAGGATGCGCCTCAGCTTCAGAGGTTGAGGGTTTGACGGCGCGAGGATCGGAGCGTCCTCCGTGAAGTAAACCACAGAACTGCTGACCACACCATCCTGCTTCTGACGGGCGCTTTCTGAAGGACAAGAGGGACACTTGAAGGTCTAAGGCAGGTATAAAGGTGGACTAAAGCCCCATCCCAATTCTCATCCTAGCCCTTAATTTGAACCCTTGCCCTCGATTTTGCTCTGGAGAGCTCCGGAGCTCACTTGCAGCCAAGGGTGATCCCATGATGCATTAGGATAGGTAGCTGTCGGGCAAAGCCGCGCCACAATTCAAGAAAACAACATGAAACACCCGTGTGCAAGTAGAGTATGTGGTGAACGTGTGGAAACTTCGAAGCGTGTGCGAGTCATTTAGGTTTTTTTTAAGCGTGTGTAAGCAGGACTAAAGCAGGTCTAAAGCAGGACTAAAGCAGGACTAAAGCAGGTCTAAAGCAGGACTAAAGCAGGTCTAAAGCAGGTCTAAAGCAGGTCTAAAGCAGGTCTAAAGCAGGACTAAAGCAGGACTAAAGCAGGACTAAAGCAGGTCTAAAGCAGGTCTAAAGCAGGTCTAAAGCAGGACTAAAGCAGGTCTAAAGCAGGTCTAAAGCAGGACTAAAGCAGGACTAAAGCAGGACTAAAGCAGGACTAAAGCAGGACTAAAGCAGGACTAAAGCAGGTCTAAAGCAGCTCCATACTTATAGCCAGAGTGAGGTCTCGTCTCTGCACAAAGCCGATGAGCCTCTCAGACTCTCGAGACACGACGACAGGAAACCCGTTGAAGTCTGTGTCTTTGATCAGAGCCTCCACCTCCTCCACTGAGGTGCTGTCCTGAGTGAGGAGGCCCAGAGGGGGGTCCGACCTGCGGGGGCGCATCACGTCTGCAGCCAGGGTCCTGAGGTGGGAGTAAAGGTATTAATGTCACTGAGAGCCTGTGTGTGAGTGTGTGAACTGGTACCTGTGAGTGAACTGGTACCTGTGAGTGAACTGGTACCTGTGTGTGAACTGGTACCTGTGTGTGAACTGGTACCTGTGTGTGAACTTGTACCTGTGTGTGAACTTGTACCTGTGTGTGAACTTGTACCTGTGTGTGAACTTGTACCTGTGTGTGAACTTGTACCTGTGTGTGAACTCGTCCCTGATGTCCAGATAAGGGTATCCGTTCAGTTGGATGTGAGACTCGTAGATTCCCTCTTTCCCGAAGGCGTCTGCCACCCATTTCGAGGTCACCGCCGCCGCCATCAACGGAACAATATACTCCAGACCTCCAGTCAGCTCGAACATAATGACCACGAGAGAGACTGTCATCCTGGTCACGCCCCCTGGAGGACAGAGAGAGAGACTGTCATCCTGGTCACGCCCCCTGGAGGACAGAGAGAGAGACTGTCATCCTGGTCACGCCCCCTGGAGGACAGAGAGAGAGACTGTCATCCTGGTCACGCCCCCTGGAGGACAGAGAGAGAGACTGCCATCCTGGTCACGCCCCCTGGAGGACAGAAACCAACAGAGATACAGTAGACAGCCCCACAGTCCTCACCCAGGCAGGCGGCTGCTCCCACCATGGCGTAGAGACCAGGTGTCACACAGTCTGCTCCTGGTCGACACCAACTTCTGAAGATGATCCAGTCGTGATGATGGTATGCCATCTGCTCCACCGCAATACCCACGATACGACCAGCAATCGCTCCCACCGCCATGGATGGAATGAAGAGACCAGAGGGGATCTGAGGAGAGAGAGAGCACAATGTACCAGACACAAGAGACCAGAGCAGGACCAGAGCGAGACCAGAGAGAGACCAGAGTCTCTCTCAGGTCTCTGGTCCTCTTCCTTACCTTCATGCCGAAGGTGAAGATGGTGATGAGGATCTTAAACACCAGGGCCAGAGTGAGTTGCCAAAGGGCGGAGTAGACCCCAGGACCAGCTGGGCGGTCTGGGATGTCGTCCAGAGCTCGGCTGGTGCTGTTGCTGGTGATGTAGTCACAGAGCTGAGACGACTCCAGAGCTCCACAGTCATTAAACAGCTCTGAGATCAGCTGAGACGTGGATCTACGAGTGTATGGGTTTGGATAGGCCAAGAGAGCAGTGACACCAGTGACCACCAGAACCTGGGGAGAGGAGGAGACCAGAGACACCAGTGACACCAGAGACACCAGTGACCACCAGGACCTGAGAAGAGAAGCAGGAGACCAGTACCCAAAGACAGAAGGAGACAAAAAACTGAAGAGACAGAGGAACTGCACATGCGGACAGAAACAGAAATACAGAAACTCCCGTATTTCACTCTGTAGACAGAGTGAAAAACAGAGTGAGCCAAAGGTGTGAGTCTAGTGTGTGTGGGAAAGTTGGTGGCGGATCGAGGGGCCAATGGCATAGACTGGTTGCCTCGTTTCTGTCAGTGTGCCCCAGGGCAGCTATGGCTATAGAAGTAGTTTATCACCACCGTGTATTGAGTTAATGAATGACATGTGAAGCATCTTTGAGTGTCCAAAATGCGTTACATAAAACCAATGCATTATTATATCATCATACTTGGGAGGGAAAACATATCGTTATGAAACAAACCAGCCATGTTTTTCTTACAGAATTGTCTCAAAATCATTCAAGATCATCTAAACATCATAAAGAATTATGATCGTTTAAATAGTGTTAAAGTTGTAGAGAGGAAATACTGGACTTTTTTTAACCCAACTTTGGTTAATGGGAGCCTATTTGAAATTCTCAGACAGTCGGATTAACACCAAACGTCAATCAGTTGTTCAACTCTGGGGTCTCGGTCAGCTAAAAGTGAAAAACATGAAATTGCAGCATAAGCGCCCCCTACAGAGTGAGCCAAAGAAATACATACACAATTTGTGCATTTAACAAACCACCCTCGTCGTTTGACTAAGTTTGAGCTTGGAAATTAAAAATAGAAGATTGTAATGTCTGCAGAGTCCAAAATGAAAGATCCAATCACTAAAACGCTGAAGATGAACTGTGTGACATTCACAATCAATCAATCAATCAATCAATTTATTTGAGCAGGTCATACAAAACAAAAAACAATCCAATAGGAAAACATTTCAAGAAAAAGTAGACACAGCTCAAAGGGAGTAAGCCGAAGTAAAATACTTGAGTGAGCTTACCCCAATTACATTTTCATATCGTTTTTCAATTAGGTGTGTGTTGTGTGTAGTGTGCGGTGTGTTGTGTGTGTGTGCGTGTAGTGTGTTGTGCGCAGTGTGTTGTGTGTGTGTGTCGGAGTGGGTACACATGCATGCGTGTATATGTTTGTTTCTGATAGTGCATGAGTGCTGTGTGTATTTGTATGTGTACTTGTGTTTATGCCTGGGTATAAGTGTATGTTTTCACAAAGCATTCTATAAAACATTTTACTCTAAAGTCCCTGGAGGAAAAGGTCTTCCTCTCTGGACCTGCCCTCTTTGAACGAGGACCAGAATGAACAGATGATTGCAGATATTTCAGATGGGGAACTTAAAGATAGATGGATACACTGCAGAACGGTATAAGCATCTGAAGAATTAACTGATGCCTAAATTACTTCCAGATTAAATTACTTCCTGATTCTTACTGGGTTTTAAAAAAGAAGAAACTGCCTCGAGCTGGAAGGAGGCTTTGATCACAGAAGGAAATGATAAAACAGAGTGCGGATCAGATAGGCCAATATCAGTTCTTTACATTTGATTATAGAATATTTACTTTAAGACAATGTGCGCAGAACCCTTCATGTTATAGATCATATCCAAACGAATAAAACTGAAGCGGTGCTGATGAGTATTGACACAGAGAAGGCATTTTACTTAATTAGGACTTCCTTTATAGGGTCCTAATAATATTATTATTATTGAAACAGTGAAGGTACTCTATACTAGTGGTGTGCTGAGCGTGCCGAGTCTTCAAAGCATGTACTGAGTAATCAAGGGACGTTTTTTTTAAAAGCGTGGGTCGAGGCGTGTGTTGGTGACGTATGTGGTGACGGTCGAAGCCTCGTGTAGCGGCCGAACAACGTGACGGTTCACTGAGGCGCTTCATATAGTTTGGAGAGTGCATCGCTTCGACAGGTGTTTCCGTCGGTCTCTGTGTGCCTTTGTGTGTGTGCGATTGTGTGTGTGCGATTGTGTGTGTGCGTGATGTGGAGCAGTCCTGTACTAAGTATAGCCAATCTACTTCATATGAAATACTATTAAAACATCTCACTTTAGTAAAACCTCAGATTCAAATATCCAGGCTTGGAATACCAGTTGTATATTAAATGGGTAGCGTAGTCTGTAAAAATTTGACTCAATTGTCAAAGATAGTTGGTTCGAATCCCGTTTGAGACAAAGAAAGTTTTGTATTTGCGGGGTAAATTTATTTAATTACTGGGAAATAAATGTTTTTTTTGTGTTTAATTAATCCACCTCATAGGAGTTTTTCCTCAAACTCTTTTTTGTAAAACTGCACCGCTTTGGATGCAATATATTTGTTGTATCAACACAATTGACTGAAAGCCTCAAATAGTTAATTTTTCATGAAGCATCAATTCGAACACAACATGTTTAGACCATAGACCGTAAATATCAATATTATTATCAGACCCCACCATTCATTGTAAGCATTTAAGACTGTTGTATATACTTTTTTGTCCACATGATGGCGTAGTGGAGCATGAATCGGATCAAGCCTTGAATCATGGGCCGAGAAATAGGCCGCAAATTGCTTCATGCCGACTGCAAGAATCAAAGTTAACAGCTTTGTACTGCAAAGAGGACATAAACAGGGCTGCGCATGGTCCCCACTCCTGTTGGATAGATACTTTATTGATCCCTGAAAGAGAAATTCAGATGATCAATTTATTTTTTTATTTTTGCTGCTACTGGGGTCACTCCAGTAGCAGCAAAAAAAAAATAAAAAACATTGATCATTCTAAAAAGCTAACAATAGTAATAATAAGCAACAGCCCTTCAGGTCACAGCAGCAGAGATGGACCATCTGCTGCGTGGAGCAGGACAGGTCACAAGATGGAGTTGTTGCTTGTTTCAGACCCTGAATCCTCTCTGCTCCAGTCTGGACCAGTGTAAAACCATGAACACTGTACTGCAGCAACATCTCAGGTAGAAAAAAAAGGAATAAAAATAAAAATTGTAAAGCACAAAACAACAAATGTTTAAGTGCTACTTAAAACTTGCTGCTGTTTCCAGCGCATTCAAAAGTAAACTGGTTTCCAGTGTTGTGCCAGTTCACAGCTTTTCTGAACTAGTTCAAGTTCAGTTCATACATGCACAAAGTGAACAGTTCACGTTCAAAGTTCACAAATTTCATTCTGAACTAGTTCAAAGTTCAGTTTACTTTTTTTGTGAGATATTCAAATAAATACTTTTTTTCAAACTACAAGTTAGAAATCACTATACGATATATATGACTCCAAAACAGACAAGATTTACATGGTTTTCAATGGGAGCAAACGGAGTTGTCCCATCTCTGCTCATAAGTACTACAAATGCGCTGCAGTGCGTGTGTCTATACTTTATGTCAAATGTTCATCACGACTCGGGCACATGTGAGTCCAACAACCCATGAACAGCACTAGCATTATAATAATAATAATAATAATAATAATAGTAATAATAATCAGTTTTATATAGCGCTTTTTTGGACACTCAAAGACGCTTTACATGTCATTATTCACTCCATACACGGTGGTGATAAACTATTACTGTAGCCACAGCTGCCCTGGGGCACACTGACAGAAGCGAGGCAACCAGTATGTGCCATCAGCCCCTCCGATCACCACCAACCGTTCACACACACACCAGACTCATTCTAGGCAATGGGGGTAAAGTGTCTTGCCTAAGGACACAACGACAGCAGACAGTGGGAGTCGATGGTGAAAGTCGGGCTCGAACCCACGACATTCTGGCTCAAAGACCAATTCTCTACCAGCTGAGCTACTGTCGCCCAGCATACAGCGCTGCACCGCAAAACGGAGTCGGGGTGTGTTCACAGACGGTGGAAACCGTGGGAATCTTTAGTTTTTGCCGGAAAAAGTGCGGAGAATATAGGAGGGAGGAACTTTCACTTGTTGCGTTTCAAAAGTGAAAACAAATGTAACTCAGTTCTCTTTCATAGTATTCGTTTCGATGTCTCACTATGGGAACGCCCCCCTCGGGTGTTCACAGAAGCCCTATACCATTACGCCAGCCCTGAGTGGCTGGCAGTGGTGACGTCGCGACGTTGGCACCCACTATAAATGCCACTCGTACGACGTCACCCGCCATTCAATCACCTCTTCTCGCTTCACAGAGCAAAGTTACCGCAACTCCAGTGTGTCAGACGGCTAATTTAACTGTTCACAGGTAGAGCTTATCCCTCTGCTGCCGAACGTTAGCTGTCACTACACCGGACAGTTAGTGCGTGACTAGCTTCGGAGTTTTTGTTAGCTGCACCAGGCTAACTCTCTGCTTTGCCTGCTACCACACCAGGTATCAGTCATGGCTACAGCTGCAAAGCTCTCTCCTTCCACGGAGCTGGAAGGTGCCCGGCACTGCACGTGCGGGAACAAGATTTCGAGCAACGACACACACCAGGTCTGCTCGGCGTGCCTTGGGCTGGAACACGCCCGGGACGCACTTGAGAATCCCGGATTGTGCATGCACTGCTCCCGGTTCACGGCCAAGAGTCTACGTCGCAGGCTAGCACACCAAGCTAGCCTCTCTGACAGAGACCCGGCTATGACCGAGCCTGAGCCCACTACCGCAGCACACCAGCTCGGAGGAGGCGCCCAGGCTGTAGCTGACACCGGGACTGGAGCAGCTGCCCAGGCTGCTCCGGCCCAGTTGAGCTGGAGCTCTACAGTGGACCTTGAGAACCCTCTCCAAGATGGACCGCTCCTCTTGGATTATGAGGACGATGGTTCTTTTGGTGAGGAGTTTTTGGTGTCTGACGACGAAGAGGACCCCTCCTTTTTCGTCCCCTCAGGCCAAGTCCATAACACATCTGTCCTCCCCTCCCCTCAAGTCAAGAGCCTGGGTGTCATCCTCGACAGTTCACTCTCCTTCCAATCCCACATCAATAACATCACTCGGTCTGCCTACTTCCACCTGCGCAATATCTCTCGTCTCCGCCCCTCTCTCACCCCCCACACCACCGCCATCCTCGTCCACAGCCTCGTCACCTCAAGGATTGACTACTGCAACTCACTTCTCTTCGGCCTCCCCAACAAATCCCTCCAGAAACTGCAGCTCCTCCAAAACTCTGCAGCTCGTATCATCACCCGGACCCCCACAGCTCACCACATCACCCCCGTACTACAACAACTCCACTGGCTTCCTGTCAAACAGCGCATCAATTTCAAAATACTCCTCACCACCTTCAAAGCGCTTCACAACCTGGCCCCTCCGTACTTATCTGACCTCCTCCACCCTCACATTCCTGCCCGCACACTCCGCTCCTCCTCCACCCTCACACTCTCCGTCCCCCCAGCCAGACTCATCACTGTGGGACACAGAGCCTTCAGCCACTCTGCCCCCCAGCTCTGGAACTCTCTCCCCCCTGACCTCCGTACCATTGACTCTCTTCCACTCTTCAAATCCCGACTCAAAACCCATCTGTTCAGACTGTCCTACCCCACCTAACACACACGCGCGCACACACACACACACACACACACACACACACACCTAACACATACGCACACACACACCCTCCTAACTCACACACACACACACACCATCCCATATTGCACCTGACTACTGTTTTATTCTGTTTATCCTGTTTTTAAATGTTTTTATTATGCCTGTACAGTGTCCTTGGGTGTTTTGAAAGGCGCTTTTAAATAAAATGTATTATTATTATTATTATTATTATAAGTCTCTCC